TCCCTCCCTCCCTCCCTCCCTCCACCTCTTTCTTCCATCTTTCCCTCCTTCCTACGTAACACCCAGTACCATTACGGGGTGTGGTTGTATGTGGCGTTTTTAGCGTACAGCGTCCGTATTCTACGGAGGTTGGATGGAAAAAGTGCACCACCCGCCACACGATGAAGGGCATCAAGGTAAGTTATCATACATAATTAGTTTAAGGATCCATTTGCCCTACAATGAAAATGGATCCTTAAACTAATTATGTATGATAACTTACCATGGACCCAACTGGCCTTACAGAGGATACAAAAACCAGTCAAATTCAAAACACCAGACAACATGAAAGGTTTGTTTTGGATCATGGCTAAATCATGGGCAATGAGAGGCCCAATCAGGGCAACACAACTGGAAGAAGAGGAAGCAGACGATAATGACTTTTGGCAGAACCTACTGAAAACAAGGAGAGAGATATTACCAGAGAAAGTAAGGGAACCCACAGCCAAGGAAGAGGTGCTCAGACAACCACTCTTCTGCAACCAGTGGATTCTGGACACACAAGGGAAACCTTGGACCCTAACAGCCAAAGACTCAAGATGGGGCTCGTGGGTAGAAAAAAGGGTATGGCAGATCAAGCACCTATGGCACAACGCGGAATCAAGATGGAGGACCAAAGGAGAGTTAAGGGAACAGCTACAAGGTTGCCATAACCTGCAAGAGAACCTCAACCACATTTTAAATTCAATCCCTGAAAGCTGGTTTAGACTTCTCAGAAGCTGATACTTGTGGAAGGCAGGAGACTGGGCTACGGAGAAGGCAGAACGCCCACCGAAGACAGCCTATCAGTTCCGAACCAGGGAAGGCACAAGAAATGAGTGGCTCATCTGCAACATTTACACAATTGAGGACCCAGGAGCATCAACAAGCCTACTAAGCAGAAACTCCACAGGGGAAGTAGCCTGGCATGAATGGGCATTAAGGAAGGTGAGAGTAATAGAACCACAGGACCGCCGAATCTACAACTCACAAACCAATATCGAGGACTTGGAGATTGACCCGGTAGAATGGGCGTGGTCAGGGAGGCTCAACATAGAAAAACGCACCAACATCCTAGAATACAAAACCAAACTAGGCTACACATTAAGGACAAGGTCGCATCCCATAACCCAAATCATCGGCCAAAGATGGGAGACACATTTTGACCTCACCCAAAACCGTATCTCGAACATCTCCTGGACTGGGTTTCTAAACATCAACCAAGTCAAAATAAGAAGTTTCCAGTGGCTACTCGCCCACCTGGCCGTCCCAGTTAAGCAATGGTTGAATAAGAGGAGAAACATTCAAGCCAGGACCCCGTTACAAGAGCTATGTGCAATCTGCCTGGAAGGTCGCGTGGAAGACGTGGGCCATTGCTTACTACACTGCCCAAAAGCACAGCAACTCTGGACCAACAGAACTGAACTTTGGCATACAATCACAAACAAAATCCTCCCTACTGACCTTCTCACTCTTCTACTGGTCCTGCACACCCCATCCAATTGGAAAGGGCAAGAGACCATTTTCTTTCACATTCTACGTTTGGCAACGTTATGGATGATAGGGAAAAGAAGATGTCAAGAGACGATTGACCGTACGTCAATTTCGGTGCAGGAAACATGGGAAGGAGTTCTGAATATATTAGAGATAGAATACAGCGGGCGCTGGAAGAGTGTGTAGAAAAATAGAGAAGAATATAGTACATAAAGACAAGATCATTGAGGTGTTTAACAAAAAGGAGCTAGGGAAAGGGAGAATAGCAACAATCTCCCATAACACATTACAGTTCGGATAGTGGAGACACAATGGACTAACCATACCACAACCCTCAGACCCGCCTCAAAGTAGATCCCATGTCACAAGAATGTCTATCGGTTCCATTTAAACAAACCAAACAACAGCAGATAGCCCTAAAACAGTTTCGTCTTATCAACCCAGAATAGGAGCACCCAACTACCTAATTCCTTTTTAATAGGCTAGGGTCTTAGCCCCTCAAAAACCCCAAACCATAGGATCCCCAACGAACCAACCTTATCACCAAGCGCATATCAATCTCGAAATAGACCATACCCGATAAGAAACCAAGCAACTCAAAAGGAAGAATCACTAACGCACCACCATACCCCCCTCAGGAATCCAAAATTCCTACATCAACAAGAGCAGGCATGGCCTACAAGAATAAGTAGATGGGCTAGGGTCTAGGGTTTTAGCAAGGAGCGCAGCAAGTGTAGCCTCACAGAGCATAGAGCAAACAGAATTTAACACAGGCACCCATATCAGCAGTACTAGCACAGGAAGAAAAACAGACAGCTGAGGAACTGAGGTACTGACTGGATGGAACATAAAGAATCAAGTCCCAAATATCAGAGTGAACGGAACTCCAGACTAGCAAAAGATAGGAGAAAAGTAGCACAGGCTAACTTAGGCCGGGGTGAGGGGTGGTACATCCTTCCTGATGGAAGTAATCAATGCCGTCCTTCAGGCCTCCACACCAGAAGGGGGAGGAGCGTGAGCGTGTTCTCAATGTATTTCCCTTGACTTGCCGGTGGAATAGGAACCGGACTGATGCTCCCCAGAATGGATAAGGAGCCGGAACCCGAAGGTTCTGTTTTCTGGAAAAAAAAAGAAGAAAAAGAAAAAGAAGGGCATCAAGGCCGAAACAAAAACTCCGTATGTTCGGGAAAAAGCATATGAAGTAGAACTCCTTGTTTTGAAAAACGTTTAACTGGGACACATAACTAGTTTTTTCCCCCCTTCTCTTTTTTCAAACAGTGCATATTATTACATACATAAATGGAACAACTGCAATCTTATTAGGTTTCAGCTTCAAAGTTCAACCTGCAAAAAGAAATTTAAAAACTAATTTTTTTTTTTAATTTTTAAAATTTTTAAAATAGCAGTTTGGTCATTGCCCAACTTTTGAAAGGCAAGAAAAACGAAAAATAGCAGTTTGGTCACCGCCAGAATTTCCAACGGCAAAAAAACTCGGGCCATGTCGAAAGACCTGTCCCAGGCCGTGAGTCCACACCATGAGAGGCCTGAGCCATGAGGAGCTGTCCCGCACCCTGTTCACACCACAGACCGGCCCTGCCCCAGTTGTTGTCCTAGCCCTCCCCCTTTCATAGTCCTCTCCTCCTCCTCCTCCTCCTCCTCCTCCTCCTCCTCCTCCTCCGACCCCGATCCCATTGGGCCCTTCTTCTTCTTCTTCTTCTTCTTCTTCTTGTCCCGTTGGTGATCTGACCGCAGGCTCACACGATGAAACTCTCCTCTACCTCTTATGCCTTCTTCCTTCCCATCGCGCACTGACCCAGATGTGGCCTCGACGTGGCACAATGCCCCTCCCTCCCCCTTTCATTGTACTCTCGCCCACCTCCTCCTTCTCCAACCCCCATCCCCTCACGCCCTCAACGTTGCACAATGAAGCTCTATCCCTCCACACACACACACACACACACACACATAACACACATAACTGCCTTTTTTAACTCAGGCTGTGACAGACCTGCCGATATGAGTTTTATTGCCTCTTTGAAACTTGATTCTTGACTGCGATGTACTTGCCCCTATTAGTAATTACCTCACGGGCATCTCGGATACAATAGATATGGCGTTGGAGAATTCCTTCATTGGGCTCGGTGCTACCATCACAGTGTTTGTGGCTGAAAGAGCAGCCAATCAGATTCCCGTTGCCATGCTGCTCCAATATTTCTGACCACAGCCTTCCACTGGATGCGTCCTCCTGGGACTGAGAGAGCAATGAATGCAAAATAACTGTGGAGTCAGGGCAAGAGAGGAGGGATTTGTTTTTATTTTATTTTTCCTTTGAAGGAAATTGGATTCGGTACAACAAATTATAATGCTCCTTTTTTTTGTAGGAACCAGGACCACTACCCGGCTTAGCTTTGTAGATTATGAAAGCCAGGAAATGGGCCTGGTCCCTCACAAAAAGGGAGGTGGTCCAATTGATCGGCAAGGCATCATCGGCAAAGCCCAAAAAGCATACCACTAGTGGCTGCAAAACCCTAATTACACACAGTAACAGAAAAGGAGGCTAAAGTCACCACAAGATAGAGGGCGTAGCTTGCAGAGAAATGAAAGCCCAAGTAACACATGGATCATCAACCGTTCTGCCACTGAAACTGCCTTACCACCTGCACAGCAGGATCACACCAAACAGCAGACCCCATAGTCCGGCCCTTTTTAAAGAAAGAAAGAAAAAAAACAGAGCTCCAATCAATTCGTGGGGAGCAGCATGTGCTGGGAACCGAGCCCAGCATCCCTTAGGAAATGTGCAAGTACAAAAAGATACCGGGGCAATTGCCCGGCTTTGGCTGACAGACAGTGAGAAAACAAGTGCTGGAAACCGGGTCCAGCGTCCCATACCTCATTCTGAGCATATCTGGGCTACTAAAGCCTGCCTCTTCATCTTTCTTCAGAATGCCAGATCCAACAGTGAGTCTACTAGGAGATTCCTGCTCCCTATTCCTAACTAGAGCGAAAGCTGGATCATTCCTGAGTGTACTGTAGGGGGTGGCAGTGAGAGGTCCCGGGAAGTACCGGTGGCTCTCCCTACCCTCTCCCCGTAAGAGGGACCGCCTCTTCCTCCCCTCAGCGGAACGCCAGATCCGAAGCTTGATGAAGTAGGGCTTTGAAAGAGGGAATGATAAGTATATGGCTAGTATGTGAGGTGGGGATGTGATTGGAAGTGTTGATTTCAAAGTTGGAAAGCCTGGGGGTTGAGGCTACTAGGTTGTTCTGTCGACATAAAACCCTAAACCCTAAAGTATTCTTAATATTGGACTGCTCAGCCTAAGGCACGAGTGAGGCAGCTGGGGCTTCTGTGGAGGGTGCCTAGGGGTTGTGGGTAGAGGGGGTTGTGATGGAGGGGATGTTGGGGGGAAACAAATGCCGAGGTTAGGACAGTGTCAGACTGTGGCCTGGTGGGGTTGTTGGGGGGTTTGGGTGGTGCGGAGGAGATACTGGGATCATTTTTGGGGTGGTTGGTGATGGGGTGATAAGGTTGGAGGGGTTGGATGGTATGTTGTTGCTTAGCTGATCTGTGATAGTCTGGCATTGCAATCAACTCTCGTATGTGTTTCTGGGGAAGTCTGTGGTGTTTGTGGAGGGTTAGTTATGTTATTTTTGTAAGAAGAGGGACGGATTGACCATTTTTTGAGGAAAGGTCTGTCTTCGTTTATTGCTCCTACGTAACCGCTTCCTAACTTTAGGGCAGTCAATTTTTTCACTATTTCAGTTGCTGCATCAAATGGCACTGCGTAGACAGATGCCACAGGTTACTTGGTTACTACATGCTAGGGACACAGGCACGCAGACCGCAACTGTATGGCATTGCCGTTCCAGCCCCTGTCTACAAATTGGACATGAAATGTCAAGGTGCGGTACACGAGTGCAATGTTGACTGTCATCATCGGTGTGAAAACAAAAACTTGCATGGGCTGCCTTCACCACACAAAGCATGTGAATTACAAGCTAGCCAAATTTTAGGTGGGCCATCACAGAGTGGCATCGAGGAAGTTCCTTGGGTTGCCAACCATTATTCCCTCTCTATGGGCAGACAACGATAGGGGCTGATAAGGGTGTTTAACTGTTGCAAGATCTGGTCTGCAACAGCTCGCCCTGGCAGTGATAACCTTTCAGTACAGCACACTGTAGACGGTCAATGCGGGAGTTTATTTTCCACCTCAGGCTGATGTGCCTGTCGTTCGTCTGGCAAGGATGAAGGAGATCCAACTGCCAGTGCAGCACGGGTATGCCCAACGCTGCATGCGGGACATGCCAGGAGAGGATGTGGCGGGTGATGGCATTGGGGATACTCCACGCAGTAGAGACACATACTTTGAATGACAGCTCCCTGGAAACATTGACGACACATGGCATGTTGCTGACACGCCAGCAGGAAAGCAGGCCGGCATTCGCAGCTATTTAAGCCCCCAGTACCTTTCCAAGGCAAAAAAAAAAATGGTCCGCCGGTTAACACGGAGGCTGGATTCGGCCTCCGCCGAGTCAGCTCCGGCGGCCACATACAGTGGCTGCCCTTGGCGCGCAGGGCCCGCGGCCCATGTATGAGAAAGGTACTGGTGGTTTAAGCATGGCATGTCAATGCTGCAACGGCATATCGGGCAAGTAATAAGGGGGTGAGCGGGGATGAGTGCAATCCAATGGGTCACAGTTTTGGCAGCAGAGGCTGGAAGGTGAGTATCCCTTCATAGTGTTCAGAGCAAAGATTATGTTGTGTGCATGCTAAGTTGCATACTGAACTGTAGCTCTCTGTGGAGACAAAATGGCATGGCACAGCCACCATCTTCTGGAGAGGCCCCTTCATCCGCGGCAGAATCTGTGAGATCTGCACGGGGAAAGGACGATGCCTGGCCATGTACTGGGGAGGGGGGAGGTTCAGCCGGATTGTTCTCCAGGCACTGTAGAGCTTGCGAGCCAGCAACAAACTTATGTGCGTGCATGAAAAAAAAAAAAAAAAAATCAAATGAAGGGAAAACGAAAAACTTGGATGAATTTGCCAAGAGAAATAAAGTTTGGACATGAGGAGAAACTTCGAGAAAGTAGATGGACGTCCATCTGAACATACCAAAACGTCGCGCATTGATAGGCGGTAAGCACATCCTCCGGTGAGATCCACCAGGGCTTCCGTCACACTTCCACCTTCAAGGGATGTATAGCAGCCATGAAGCTTGGCATAGGCCTGTAGTGCTTTGCACAAATCCAACAATTTGAAATCCGAAAGGAAGATAAAAACAGAAAAGAAAATCAGAATGATATTTTCCTATCTAGAACAAATTGCAAGGAACCTGATTGTTCACAGCTTGCTGGAGTGCATCACTTCGCATGCATACATGTCTTCACACAGATAGGATAGCTTCACACAAAGCCAAAGTCGAGATGTGATAGGAACCAGATAGCGCAGCTCATTTTATAAAATTCACATTAAACAAGAGTATCTCGAGTTCAAAAGTTCAGCGCCAACAAAATGCAAGTCTTCTTCACTCAGTCATCATCATAGGACCTGG